TGTATACTGACTGACGGAATTACTAATGTAACAACTTCACCAATATATGTACATGTACGTAAAATGCAAGATGTTACCTGCAACACAGTTCACGATTTTTCAGCCATTAGCGGCCACGTGATAAGAAAATTTTCAAGAAAAATTCGTCGGTATCGAGTATGCAACAAATGGTGATAATAAAAATTTTGAAAATAGTTTGTTCTCATAGCGAAATCAAAGTCACTTTGGGTTTTTCAAATAGAATTAGATTTTTTTTCGCGCCATTTGGTAGGGGACATTTTGAACAGTGTAAATATATTTGATCTTAGATTGCTGAATGTAAACATAGAACGTTGCTTAGAAGTGATTATTAGTTTGTCATTGCGGTTTCTTTGCTAGTCTTCGTTGGTTTCAACATTTTAAATATTTGATACAAAGTAATCTTCTGCAACCACGTGTTCTTCTTCTAATTCTGAGACAGATGATGTGTTATTAATTTTTGGTGAATGCAAGAAAAATTCCAGTAATTCGTATAATGTACAAACATAGATTTTAAATATGTTTACATTGTTCAAAAGTAGAATGCGACGAAAAGTTAAATATTCCAATTTCCATTACTGTAAACATAGTACTATGTTTATAAAAATATGATGTTATATGCTTTTTAAATTCGTCATAATATCCCCTGCAATATAACGAGACAAAACTTTTTTGGTCCTATGTATTTGAAAAACCCGAGGCGACTTTGGTTTCGCTACAAGAACAAACTATTTTCGAAATTTTTATTATCGCCATTTGTTGTACACTCGATACCGATAAATTTCTGTTGAAAATTAATTTTTGTCACATGAACGCAAATGGCTGAAAATCGTGCGTCACGTTGCACAGAACACCCTGTAGATTTTATTTAAGTTCCGAGGCAACAAATATCCTTCTTATATATTTCCGGAAAATATCGTTTATCATCAGTGGATAAAATCTCTTACTGTGTTAATAATCATAAGATACACTGCAACTAAGAAAAGTATACAATACTATGACATATGACAGTATAATACGAAAGCAAAGTCCAGCAAAAATATTTTCTAAGAAAAAGGTCTAATTTGCTTTATCTGAACATTTTCAAACAGAATGAAAAGCGGTTACTCAACCTTGAACAAACACGTGGAAGAAATGTTCGTAAAAGGAAATTAGTAGGGAACAAAATACTGCAGAAGTTGTAACACATTGGACTGACTGACGGAATAATTTGATAGACTCGTATTAGCCTGAATTCCGACAATCCAGTTAGCTACCCTAACCCTGATCCAGCCTCGTCCTGAATTTAGAGCAATTGACACGAATTAGAACACGCTGTGATAAACTAACGTTTCCGATAGGCTTCCCAAGACAGTTCAACCCAACGTTTTCGCCAATGGAAAATTCTAAAATGTCTTCGAAGCACAATGGATTCCTAAATTCCTTTCGAAGCAATTCCTTTGATCGGATCTCAACGTTTAGTTAGCTCATTACTATTGTTCGCATGTAACCCTTTAACGTTCAATCGCGTATCTGACATCTGCACAACTAATCGATCAATAAGTTATAACTAATCAATAAGGTATAACTAATCGTTCCATACCGTGTTATCAGTTTTATTGTGATAAAATAAAAAAGTAAGTTACAACATTATAAAGAATGGCAAACTTATTTCTGTACGCCGAGGAGATAATTAAAAAAACAAAAACGCGGCAAGAACACCTTGTCTGTTATCTGTTAATTGGAAATCCGCGCAGTGACTCGTTTCTTGTGGGCAAAGAAGTGTAACACGACTGAAATTCGTCGCTAATTAAGCGGTGTATGGTGACAATGCAATATCTATTTACTCGAGAATGAGCGCATGGATATCGAAGACGATTACTGGCAAAGAAAGCCGTCAACTTCGATGACGAATGACGATGGATGGAAATTTTTCGAAGAAGGAATACAAAAACTCGTGCCACGTTTCGATAAATGTTTAAATAAATTTGGCGATTATGTAGAAATGTAGCTCTTACAATATCTGTAGGTTCTTACAATATCTGAGTATAAATGACATATTTTGAGTAACGTTTTTTATATTTGCTTGTAAACAAGAAACTAACTTATATTTGCTTTTGGAGCCTCATTTGTAGACATTTCATTCAATTCTTAGATACAATATGGAAATTGTTTACATAATTTTTTTTATTACATTTTTCTTTTAATCCTTAGTTTAATTGTTAACAAATGAACATAAATCATTTTCCTTTTAGTTAGAAGTTAAGTTTAGAAGTTAAACAACGCTAAATAAATTCCAACGAAGTGTACGGAAACTCTTTTGACAGACAAGGGAAGATCCCTAACCCGGAAATTCGGAAAATGAAACTTTGGGGATATTTAGAGCACATACATATATGTAGATATGCATTACGCAATTTTATTTGCTGTCAAATTCACTCTAAGAGGGTAAAATTCACCCCTGAAAATTTCGTTATTTCTCGATTTTATGTTGTAACTCTCTAACTGTAAGAGACAGAAAAAAAAGTTACTTCTTTCAATCAGAACTCTCATTTGGCAAAAGATTTACCAACTGTTTATACAATTAGAAAAAAGTTATAAACGAAAGTATTAATAATTTTTTCTAAAATTCATTTTTTCTCGTGAAATCTTAATCGGTGGTTTAAATAACTACGAAAGAGGGTAATATATTTAACTTTCCGGATTGGTGATCTTCCCTTGTGAGTGTATTCATAACAAACGCTACTTATTGCTACATTATTCTGTGTATAAGAAAAACAAAATTCACGAACCAACAATTTTGTCCTAGTTAAATAAAATTTGTATACGGATTTAAATAAGGTAGAATCTAATTACATCGTAGCACTAAAATCTGAAAATCAGACAGCACGTCAGATCGCGACTCGGATGGAAAATTATTTTATTCCGGCATTGGTCAAATCGTGGTCGGGTGCGATAAAAATGTATAGTGGAATAAGCGTTTAAAGTTCCTACTTGAAACGTATCGCGTATTATTCGACAAACAACATATCTACGTGTTACACTTTGCAACTGAACTTTGATCGACGTCTTTTCGCGACAACTTATACATACAATGTATTTATGTATTATGTATAACGCAATAGAACGAACGACGGAGTATAAATTCCGATATTTTACACGGGAAACGAAATAATTGTCTGATAAACCGCGGAGAAACCGAATTAATCGTAAAAGAATTATCGCAATATCTTTAGACGGATACAGAGAAAAGAGTGGAAATTAGTGATCTATAAAATTTATGTTGATCTTTATGCAAATCGAAGGAATTTCCATCTGAGTAAAAATAGAATATAATAAGCTGAGACATTATGTACACTCAGTTTTATGACGACGAAATATATTGTATCTCTTTATTTTTATTAACAAAATGAGACGAATGTATTGTTTGTATTTTTCACGACGAACTTAATATCGTTCGAACTGAAATATTCGGACACGATGGTCGCCGTCCATTTTCATTGACCTAATTCATTTTTCTATAATTATTATACTTTGTCCCGTCTGGCGAAGAATTTTGTTTAAATGTACTGGAAGTTTACTCGTGTTCTTTTGAATTTGGAAAATTCAGGCAGAATTATAAATATACTGTATAGCAAAAGTGAATTTAAGTAAATTGAGATGCTGCTTTAATTTGAAATAATTTCTAAACAGAGAATTCACAGAGAAAAAAACGTGGGACAGCATAATATGTAGTTATAACTGTTATAATATATAAACAGAACATTAAATTGCGTGTAAAGTAGAGAAAATATATGATATAATTTATTTCGTGGTATTATAATGAACAAACTTTGAATAAATTTTTCATGCGTATAAAAAGAATTATTTAACATAATAATTTCAGCTTAACTATAGCTATTTTTCATCTATGACCACAGGTTAACCTGATTTTTAATCCTTACGAACTTACCATCACCGCAAGAAAATAATAAGATCGTTAAAACGTAGTTATTTATTGAAGAAAGTTGCAAAAATGTATAGAAAATGGTTGGAAGTATAAATTTATAATAAAAGTTGTGAAAATTTATAAATTATACAGTGTTATAATATTATTATAGAAGAATGGAAATCTCCCACGAAAAGATAATCTCCCGTCCGACCGTGTTAAAGTTTTTGCTCATGACTTTGAGGAGATGGCACCGACACTAAATATATAAGGACCTCGATGACCTTCCGCGAAATCAGTTACCCTTAATTACCCTGAATTAATAATGATTCTCCTACTACTGTAAGTCTTATAATGTATATTTTATGATCAAGAATGCTAGTCTTGTCAACGTGGGTCGCCCGTGCTCCACGCAACGTGAATAGAAAGTCATTAAAAATCGGACCGGCAGCGAAAGCGTTAAATGCAATATTTGTGTTTCATAGTGAAGAATTTAACAATGATCGTACTGTATTACTATTATTTATTAATAGTTTTATAATCTTATAAATTGTCACGGTTAGAATTATAATCAAATTTGATTCTTCCACTGAAATTAATACGGATTCGAATCAAATACATTTTCACAGAACATCATAAAATACGATTATAAAACAGCATACTTCATTTGTTATAAAATAAAAAAATATGTAATCTTTAATCATTCTGTATAGAATAAAGTTAAATTGCTTTTCCAAAACTTCATGCAATTTTATATTCTCCAGGATGTATTAGTTGACAACTTTCCACGAAGTCTAATAAATTCAATTTATCGTTTATACATTTTGCAGCTTCAATCTCCGCGAATATTTAATTAATAAAATATATGCTCCATTTGCATTTCTAAAACGCGTAAAAAGTATCCATAAATTTTAAATACGATAAATAACAAGTTGTTATCAAAACATCTATCAAACAGTACTCTGCTATCAAAAAATTTCTCGTTTGTCACACGACGATCGTTAATTGAGTTCAAAGAGAAAGGAAGAGTGTTGTTTCATAGCAGGCAAGATATGCACAAAGGATCTCAACTTACCGAGCATCTTGACACCCTGAACAGGACTCAGGGGGTAAAAATCTCCGTGTAGAGGACAATGGAAACCGACCCTACGCTCCCTTCTTCTCGCCCTTCTGGTGAGCATGCAAAGCAACACACCAAGGGCGAGCATAAGGGCGCCCACGACTATGCAGATTGGTCCAAGAATCCGTGAGTTTCCCGTGAACGCGATTCTAGCCGCGTACGAGTCCTTATCCTCGTCCTCGCCGGGTCCACGATACGAAGCAGCTGAAAACAGGCAAACAAAGGGTGTGTCAGAATTAATCGCACAATATTGGCCATTTTTTACCTCCTAGCAAGCAACTGTCCGGCTTCTTTGTCGACGCAATTTCTCTCCTCTTGTCACTGCAACCCTCGCATTTTTCTCGCGACAGCAACGCGTCAAGATGGATAATCTTCTTCCGTTTTCCCGTTTTAACTCTATTAAACAAGAATTTGTTTCGCGCGACGATGGAATTTTTAAGGCGGATCGCGAAACGCGTTTAACGACAATTCGCAATTCGCATAGTTCCCTAAGCTTTTTTCTGAATAACGCAGTTTCAGCGCCGGCGCATTATTAATATTTCACATTTAATCTTCCGAGATGCTCGCGGCTAAGTTTACGCTTCCATGAACAAACGGCAATTTAGGAGTGAATAGGAGTGAAGAGAGGAGGATTTTCTATTAAACAAATACACAGAAAAACCGGTGATGCTCTAGATTTCAACTTCTTAGAACTACTTCGATATACTACTGGCAAAATTATCACATATCGGGAAAAAATTATGGCTGACCATAATTGTTTCCAAGTACGATACTCGTTAAAGTAGCAACAGACATATATTATAAAGATAAGCTGAACAACTAGGCCCGGAACAATATTTTCCATTGTATATTGTTATTTTATTCGTGAAAAAATGCAAATATATAAATACCGAATCTTCGAATTGAAATTAGTTCGTATATACTACCTACACACATCTACAGGGTGTTCAACAACAGTTGCTAGAAAATTTGAGGGGTGTTTCTACAAGCTAAGATAAAACAAAGATAAAAAATAAAAAAATTTCGTTTGAGGCTTCGTTTTTTAATTATTAACGTTTAAAAATCGGCTGAAATGTCCCTGGAGCCCAGCAACCTCCGTACACCGACGAATGTAGGTCAGGTCAAGATACGGGGGGTACAGTGGTCTTCAAAACCTACGACACATGGCCAATACAGGCGTGTATGCCGGAAAGTTCTTCAAATATGTATTCCATTGTATACTGTAATATAACAAACACAACGTACAGTTGGTCGAAACGATATAGAGAGGTCGTAAATTCAAGCATTAAGCGGCGACACACACCGATTGACGTAGCCGCGTCCAGGACCGTGCGTCATTTGTGAACTGACATATAAAATTTCTGCTTATGACCTTTCGTTTAAGGTATACAGTATTAAACTTCCGCCGCCTCCTGCTCAATAGTGATTCCCGTATTGGTAAAAATTAATCTGCAACTGACGCAAATATATTTTTTATATATACTACAGCTAAAGCATCAATTTTCTGCAGGAAGGATCTAACAAGGACGTAATTTTCAAAAATTCGTTTAGTAATGTAAACATTAAGGAAATCGTTAATAAATGTCTTGTCAATAATTATCATGATATTGACATCGCTTAGTAGAAGAAACATAAGGCCAAGAGAAAAAAATTATACAAAACTAAAACAAACGAACTTATTATTTTATAATAGAATTGGTGGTATAATATAATGGTGGTAAAGTCGAATATTTTGAGGATTATTATACCCTCCCTGTTTTCACGTGTCCCATATTCGTTGGTGTGGGGAGGTTTGCTCGGTTACGGGGATATTTTCAAACGTTAATAACTAAAAAATACAGCATCGAACACAATTTTTTTCTTTGATTTTAGTCTTGTATCGGTTACTAGAATCACCTCTTAAATTTTCTACCGACAATTACCCAACATCTTGTATAGCTGCATTAAAATATGAGAGCCTACGTACGAAGTCACCGTAATTACCAAGTCCCCAGCGACTATAAAAACACCAATGACGGGCGACTAGCCAATCACGACGACTAATGAGGTGCATTATTCAAATGCACGCTTTCTAGAGGAAAAGAATGCGTACCAACGGAACGGTAGAAACAATCCAAACACAGTTTCTAATCGTTATCCGGTTATTGACAGTCTCGATGTATTTAACAAATCATCAAACAATTTTATCGACATCCTTACAAAATGTGTTATTCGACCAGATATTTTTGTGACGAAGTGTAGGTATATACATATATATATATATCACGAACCAGAAGAGAAATTCGAAATCCCGAGGATAAAAGCAACAGTATTGTTGCCTAGAAAACTTCGCGTGTCTGCGAAAGCTTCTCTTCATTTAATCGAAACGTACCATTGCTTCGGTTTCACAATGCATTTAGAAACCGTACTGTATCGAGCTTGATGCACGAAAAAGGAGTAAGAAATTTTATTTCTTGCTATGGGAAAGGGTAGAAACATTCCTACTACGCTGAACGCGAATCACGCCGATCCACGCTTTATCTTTATTATTGTTCCAAAAGACCGGAAGATACTGATTAAGCGTGGAAACGAGTGGGAGAGTCTTAAAGGAACTTTCTTGCGAGTTGCAGGAGAAAGTCATTTTCCTCCGCAACGATCTCTATAAGGGAAGAAACTACAGAGCGAGCGATAGGGAGAGGGAGAGAGAGAGGAAGAGAGAGAGAAAGAATGCTGAGACCGAACTGATGCACACGTAATCTTTCCTCGTGTACTCGATTTCATTGCACGCGAAATCTGAACGTGGATCTAAACCAGTGTAGGTAGACGAAAAAATATTCATTCCAGGGGAAAGTTCGTGTAACCAAGTACACCCATCGTTTTGGATAAATAACTGTTCTTTCCTGAAACGAAGTGAATTATCATCGAGGAAATATTAGTGTAGAAATTATGTAGAAAGTAATTCCGTACCTTTTTCTTCACGAACCTCGATGTTTATTTACAACAAAATCAAACACAATTTTAACCCTCCGTTGGCAACCTGGGTCTTTGATGACCCAAGCCAAATTTCACTCTTGTATTTCTTCGAGAAGAATTTTTATTTTTATTGGAAAAAGTTTGGAACATTTGACTTAACGAACGATTGTATAATGTAGTAGAGACTTTGATAAGTGTCTTAGAATTTTTTCAGATTTCTTTAAAGCCTAGAATAGTAAGAAAATTAGACCTATAGAGCGTCAGAAAATATGTTTGCCTACGGAGGGTTAAATGATCTCCATTATTTTGGATAACCTTTTCCCATTTATCGGGTAAGTAATGAATTCCTCTTCTGAAAAATATGGCTATTTTGAGTTGGTAAACTCGTCAAGACTTTACGAAAAAAAGGTACCGAATTAATTTGAACACCCAATAAATTAACGTTTTCATGACTTATGTGATTGTGTTAAAATATTAAGTTGTCCGAGAAGTTCGTACTGATTTTCAATCAGTAGTGTTTTAATATGTTCAAATATACATATAAAACTCGATGAAAAAATACGAAGTCGCATATACAGGGTGAACCGCGAAACGTGATCACCTTAAATAATTTCGTACTTAGTGGACCGATCGAAATTTTTTTTGTATACTATAGTTAGCTCAGGGGCCTCTTTGATTCATATTAAGCGAGAAAAAAGAAAATTTCGATCGGTTCACTAACCGTGGAATTATTCAAAGTGATTACATTACGCGGTTCACACTTTATATTAAAAAAATTTTCTTCACATAGATATGCTTGAAAGAGACTTTTAAGATGACAAAGAAGAAAATTTCAATCAATTGACAATCGATAAAAATCGGAAAATGTGAATTTTTTGGACAGCCCAATAATTAGTTTGCACGTATTTACGTTCTTTTTTAACTAACTTTCGATAGGTCTTTTCAACTTATTTGCAACCGTCATAATGGTACGCATATTGTGCCCAAATTAGACCGGATGGTAGAACAATACGCAAGGTAATTGTAGAGACTGGGACAAGGTATAACTCTTTTCTGCACGAAAATGGAGCAAAACGATAGTGAGTTGAATGGTTTAATAGAGTATAAATGTATGTAATAAAATTGTTTCTATAAATGTAACGATACAAATGAAATTATACGTTTCTCTTTATACAAATCGCTTATCTAGACATTTCGTGTATAAAAGTATTTAATCAAGGTGAGGTCGAAAAACAAATATTACTTACGAGAAATTGCCGGAAAGTAGATTTATATTTTTAACCCTTTGCACTCTGAATTCTTTTTTCATTTTCTTTCCAATAACTGCACATTATTTTAAGTGTTTTATTCAAAAAGTACTTCAAAGGCAATTGGTGGATAGGAAGCAATATAAACAATTGCTTCATTATACATATATGACACTTTTCTGTAACAATTGGACTTGTTTGTTATAAAAAATGGACATATACATGTAACGTTGCTTGTCTAAGTATAAAAAAAATATTGCGAAATATAATACATATTTAAACTGGCAATTTAAAAATGTCGAGTGTCACTCGACATAGGAGTACCTGTGAATAAAATTTATGTTGACAGGAGAGTGCAAAGGGTTAATTTATAAAAAATGAATATGAATTTTAAATTTTCACTTATCGCCTCTGAATTTATTCCAATACATGCTGCAGTAATTCGTTTTTTCTTATTTTCCCGTGTAGTCGGTACTTCTTCGAAAAAAACGAACTGATAAAAAATTTACTATAATCATCTTAAAGACTTCTTTAAACCATATTGTGCAACACAAACAAAATTCGATCGATTTACTAACAACAGAATCTAAGGTGATCACGTTAGACGGTTCACCCCGTATAAAGGCAGAACAGCAACCTCTCCGAGTGGTCCCCTTGATCTTTGTTGTTGTTGCTTAAGAATTCATGAAAATTCGGAATTATTGGGTGTATACAAAAGTTTCCATCGCTTGTAAATCGGTGGCATTAAGAGGCACTGTACGCTTCTCTTCTTATTTAAATTTTCACAGTAGGTATTTATGACAATACTACTGTTAATTCAACATACTGAATTAATATTGAGTATTAATATTATATTATTATTTTGGTAACGACTAATCATAAATATAATAAAAAATATTACATTCTCCAGAAAAATAGTATGGGAACTTTTGCACAGACCTAATATCCTGAAAAATTCAATTACAAATGAATAGTAAAATAGTGAAATACAAAAACGGATTAAAT